CATGAAACCTCTGAGGTCAAGCAGGCTTTGAAAACGCTCATCATAGTGGGAAAGAAAAGAGTAGATTGCTGTTCTTTGGAACTTTTGTATACATAGAGAAGGGAACCTCTGCACAAGAGGAGGGGAGCGATTTTCAAAAGTGTGACATAAATCAAAATAACCAGTCCAAAAAACAGAGAGGTCTGCAGGAGTGGAAAACTATTTAACTTACACAGGATGATGATTCAAAATTTCTCCTTGGCTGGTTTTGCCATTCTACCCATTAGCTTGGAATACTGGAGGTATTGGTAAACTGCAAAATTATCTTGGGAATTATGTGTTATTTTGAGCCACTGCATACATTGTATTTTATGTTTGGCCTCATTTGTGCAAGAATTCTTAAAGGTCTGATCATACAGTGAAAATTAGCTATTTGTAGATATCTGACATTCTCCCATATATGAGGAAGACAGTCAACAAGATCAACAGTTATAGTTTTCACATTGCTTTATAAAAGGGCCTACATGAAAATCCTGATATACAAAAATAAATAAATTGCCTACTTATTTTTCCTATTAAGGCATGAAGTTTAAACTCTAAAGTAAACACCTAGAATAATTAGCTTATGCCATTTCATTTTATTGATATTTATCAGCTTCCTAGGGGAAGGGAAAAGCTTCAACGTATGGATTATGCAGTAGGTGGGGGTCACAGGTTTTATTTTTACCTTGACATTTACTCATTGTAGATGGTGGATCAGCTACTTAGACAAACATTCTCCAGCTTTAAAAGTTCAGTCTGAAAACCTATGACACAGCTTTTATATGTACTGAACACCAACCTTTGCCATCGATCCTGCATGAGGGATGGAGGTATTTAGCACATTGCAAGTAATCAAAAGGTATCATGCAAAACAACCCATACTGCAGCATTCAAACTGAAAGCAATTGTTAACAGTTCTGCTTTGTCCTTCAAGGCATTACCCATGCTTGTTCTAGAATTACTGTTCCATTGCCTGAATATCTTCATTTTGAAAAATGACATTAGGGAAATACCTATACATGTACATCACAAATCATTTCCCATCAATTCTGGTTAAAAGCTAGAAAGTCTGCATGAAGAGTTGCCTTTGATGCCCTCTAACAAGCTTAAAAGCAGTAATAACCAACTCAAACTGCTAGAAATGACTGTGCATGTCAACTGCCTGATGGCCGATCATTTCTTATGCATAAGCGTGTATTTTTGTTACCTTGATTGCTGGAATGGGCTTCTTTGGAATGAAATGCTTTTCCTCGGGAAGCACAGCAGCCACGTTCTGTGCCTTCAGTTTAATCTTGTTCTCAGCTATTATCTTTTTGCGTTGCTCCAGGTAAGGCCCAAAACTGGGTAGTTTCTGAAACAAAAGTCAGTCAACATGATTATGCTTAGCGAGGGGGTGTAGTGAAAAGGTGAGTCTGATCCCAAGGGCAACACCCTAAGTCAATGCTGAGTGCAACTTGCTTCTTATTCAGTTGAAATTGAAATCAGTGAGACTGTACCAGCGTGAGAAATGAATAAAAATCAAATATGAACATTGAGATCTGACTTGAAAATATATACAGAATATTAAAATATTAATATCCCACAACAGAAAAATAGCTGAATTGCAGGTCAGCATCCCACAGTCTATTATTTCCCCATTGCATGCTTGCTTATATATAAAAATGCATCATGCTAAATAATTCAAATGTGTAACTTTATTTCTATTTTATTTTAGACTCTGTGGAAAGGTATCATAAAATTATCAGTTTACTTAGAAGGGTTCTGCCAGTATTTAAGATTATTTGTGTGGATATCTGAATATATCAATACATATTTTTAAAGCCTACAAACATGTATTTTGCAGTCTGATAACAGAAGGCTGTCTTGACCTGTCAAAATAAGGCTAACCACCACCAAATGAACTGAAACACATTCTAATCTCCTAATTTACCTGTATGTCCCACTTACAGTCTTTTCTGTAACACTTAATCCTTGAATCAAATTAAGCAAACTCTAGAGGAAGACTTCACTGAACTGCAAAACTCATGACTCACCCACGTACATGAAAGAGCTGGTTTAGATTTACCTAAAACACTTGGCTGCCTGAAAGAAAAAGTCCTTTTGCTTACCTAGCAGAGATAAGGACAACTGCACTGTGCCACAATCACAGATTTAGGTGAGTGAAAAATGGTAGAAAAATGGATTTTTGCTTGATGCAATAGACCGTGCCCTTCCTCCCCTGAAACAAGTTCCTTATGTTGCAAAGGTATTTTATCCACCTAACTAAACCCTGTTCAGAAGCTACAGCAGTACTGCAGAAACCAGCAGGTAGTAACAGGGGATACATAGCCTCAGCAGCTGCTAGCATTAATTCACGCTAATAATACAACCTCAAAGAGCATATCGAACAAGATACAGTACTGCTGTGGTTATCAATTTTTTAAGAGGGAATTTCAATGTGAATTTTAAAACTCGAATTATTTAAAAATTTACAAATTATTATTTTTTAAAATGAAGTAAATCCAGAAGAGGTTACCCTGCTCTTCTGGCTAATCCTTAAGAGAAAAATTCCTCAATGAGCTCAGACAGTCACAATACCTAACCTTGGGACCTCAGGCTTGTTGTTATGATAAACAAAGCTTTCCTGGCTGCTAGGATTTTGCCACTCTGAGCATACAGCCAGAGGGTGAGGTCCTTGAAACATTTCCCTGCTTCCAATCCTTGGTTTGTGGCCTCAACGCAAATGTAACGGCAAGTCAGCATGGGCCTTGCAGTCTCCCAATGCTCCCTAGAGGAGGTGCATCCTGCAGGCTGGGACTGAACTGAGCTCTGGGACAAAGCCTCAGCCTGGGCAAATGCAAGGCCAGGACTGTGTGGAATGTTGCAGACCCTATCTGTCCCAAATGGAGGTGTAGCCTGAGTTTGCCCACTGGCAGAGGGCTCTTATTTGGTCAGTTCAAGGGCTTCCTTACAGACACCCAACAAAGCTTCCTTTCTCTGCAGATGCCGTACATGATCTTGGAAAGGAAATGTTCTAGGATGTCTTAAAATAAGGTTTTACAAATTACTGCAAACAGCAGTAAAGTAGCAGCCTTACATACTAAAGTCAAATAAGACAGAAAAATAGAATTACTTTAAACAGGAAAATGAGTAGAAGGAAGATTTTTTTCTAATTTCAATCTAATCAATAGGCTCTAAAGCACATGCATGTTAATTGAATTCTTTAGATGACTTTCAGAAAGCCTAAAATTTTAAGCAAAGATCTAAAAAATACAAATGTTGATAAAAAGTGATCTTGTATGTCTACTAGGCTGAATCAATTAGAAATACATTTTGGCTACGAATAAGTAGTAGCACTGAGAAACTATTTTCTCTCTATAATTTATGTGCTGATGCCAACAAATTTGGCTTGAGAGGGCGGGAGACCTGATGACAGAGCATTTTTGGATTCTTTCCTGTCTGGCCAGGAATTGAATTGCTGACTTTGAGAGTAGGTAGCAAAGCTAATTTTGCTGAGGTTTTAACTGAAGTGGTAGAGAGAGGAGACAGTTGTTCATGGCTTGACTGATTGAAGATCATCTTTGGGAAGAATAGCCAAATCTTTGCAGAATAAATCCTTTTCTTTTCTCTTAATAGACACCCAGTCTCCTAATTTCTACAGACAGAAACACTGAGTATATTGAAATGAAATAGGTGATCCAAGGAAAAGTGTGGAAAAAGAACCCATGAATAGCAAATTCCAAAGGCAATTAATTAATTTTCATACTTGCGATATGGAAGTATTTAGGTTTTTACATCTAATATAGCTGCTAGCTGAAATGTACAGCAGACATTTTGAAAAGTGTGCAGTGCCATCAGTTCCATAATTCAGATGTTTTGTAATGACATGCATGCAGTTAAATTATATAATCAGTGTCTTTAAAAACAAAAGAAATTATGATTAATCTAGAAAACTATAGTCCAACTTTCATATTTCCTGCGCACTGCTGTTTTTCCATCAGGAACTTGGTAAAACAGAATTTTAAATAATTAAGGAAACACCTAGGTCTTAGTCCAGACATGGGCATACACAATGTCCTTCCACTGACGTGACTGTCATGGACTGTGTGCCCATACAAATGGCCTGAGTATTTTGTGTTTGAGGTCTAGTAGTTCACAAGCAGCCAAGCCAAATTTCATCAAACAACATTGAAAACCAGCAATCTTTTCTATAACAATAAATAATACATGAAAATGTAGCCTCAGGAGCTTAGGAAGGACTTATTGATGGTGCCTCTTATGAGTAATGTGCAGACACAGGGAACGCTGAGGAGACTGCATATTGTTCAGAGCTGTGATTTCAAACATTCTGCAGTCAAAGGCCATATGAAATGACAAACAATATTTTAATGAAGTGCATTACTGGATATAGCAAAAGTGGAAACATTGAACTAACTGCTGAAGAGATGGATATTTAAGAGATTTTAAACTTAAATCACCTCAAATTATTGTAGGGGATATCTTCCTAAGCACATGGGGGATTTAATAACAAAATTCCCTGTGAAAGCAGAAGCACAGAACTTGGTGAGTTTAACTCTGCTTGCTTTTGAAATCTTTCTACAGTACTTTTTTTAAAAAAAATTTCTGGATATTCCAATGTCATTAAACTCTCCATATGCTGATATCTTTGTCATATCAACATCTGCCTAGAAAAAAAAAACAATTAATATAAATATGTTGATCACAGCAAGTGCTTAGAAGATTGCAACAAGCAGAGTAATTAGATAATTCTTGTCTACTTATATATCTGTATCAGTGATGTCTATAGCTGCATTATTTCTATCCATCTGTCTCTATATAGACATAATTCAATGTGTTTCTACTGGAGGGATAACATCAAAAATGGAGCCAAAATAAATATATTAAGTGGAATTATTTCATTGTTTATAGTTGCATTATCACAAAACTGGAAGCTTGAAATATTGTGCTGGAGTATTTTACAGTGAGAAAGAAAAAAAATCCAAATCCTCCCCCCACTCTCCACTTAGAAAGGCTGCCTTTTAACTGATGAACTCTTTAAATCTTCAGCAACATTGTGATTTTTGTTTCAGTAGTTTCTACAGGGATTCAGCATTGATGAATTTGTTCTTACCAAAAAAGCTAAATCCTGCTCATTTAAAGATAACAGTATCTTCCACTAAAACTGTCTCTATCCAGATATAAAAAAGCATTACCCTGCCAATAGAGAACTGACAACTTAATGAATCAACAATGAAACCTTAAGCCAGAGAGCTTTAAGGTGAATAAGTCTGTTTTGATTATAATTTATTCATGGATCAATCTAAAGGTAATTGAGCATATTATGAACTGAAAAAGGTACTTGTTTCCTAATGGCAAAAAGTAGAGACAATCCTCCACTTCAGATTGCTGCAATTTTTATGGGCACACCAGCAAGCAGTCTAACCAGTGGAACAGGCTGGTGAACAGGGCAGTGCAATGTGTGTCAGATGACCCAGACTTTATTTCTAACTTGGAAACTGATCTGCCCCTTACCATGGGAAAATCCACATACGTCTCCATGGTGTAGTCATGGGTTGCTTATTTGTGACCTGTCTGCTACTAAGGGGCTGGATGCCATCTACTGTTAGAAGACACAGATTTCATCTGGCAGTCTATTGGGTTTGCATGGCAAGGTTCTGGTATTGGGGAGACTACAAGGATGACTTCTGTGAGAAGTGGCTAGAAGCTTCTCCTTTGTCCAACTGAGCTAAGGGCAGCCAGCTCCAAAATGGACCCCTCTCTGGCCAAGGCTGAGCCCATCAGCAATGGTGGCAGCACCTCTGGGGTAGTAATATTCATACATCATTTAACAAAAGGAATACTAGGGAAAATGTCGATCTGCTACTGAATAGAACAAGGAACCTTGCAACAGAGATTGCAGAGGAGGTTGAGATACTGAACATCTTCTTTGCTTCAGCCTTCACTGCCAAAGCCAGCCCTCAGGAATCCTTGATCCAGAAGACCAGGGAGAAGGTCTACAGAAAGAAAGACTTTTCCTTAGTCAAGGAGGATTGGGTGAGAGACCATTTAGTCAAACCTGACATTCACAAGTCCATGGACTCCAATGGGATGCACCCACAAGTGCTGAGGAACTGCCAGAGATCATTGCTAAGCCACTCTCAATCATCTTTGAAGATCATGGCAGTCAGGAGAAGTGCCTGAAGACTGGGAGAAAGCAAATGTCATACCAGTCTTCAAAAAGGGCAAGAAGGAAGACCCAGAGAGCTACCAGCTAGTCAGCCTCATCTCAGTCCCTGGAAAGGTGATGAAATGGCTCATCCTGGAAGCCATCTCTAAGCAAGTGGAAGACAAGAAGGCAATCAGGAGTAGTCA